ACTAAAAGTACTAAGTTATCGAGTGTCCATTATTTCAAGAGTCATACATGGTTGCATTTAATCCTCAACAATCCTATGAGTGCCATTGCCATTTTAAGATGAGGATAGAGGTTTAGAGAAGTTAAGTAACTTTCCCAAGGTCTCATGGCCACTAAAATGATGGACCCAGGATTCAAACCTAGGTCAACTTCTTTCTTAAGCTAGAACACTTTTTTTATTATTATTTTTTTTATGTCGATGAACCTTTAATTATTTATATGCGGTACTGAGACTCGAACCCAGTGCCTCACACATGCTAGACAAGTGCTCTACCACTGAACCACAAGCCCAGCCCTAGAACACTTTCCCACCCCCACCCCCCAACATGCTTAGAATGAAACTCTACAGATTGTTGAAGCTTCATAAATAAAATGCTCACTAAACACTCTCAGGCCAAAGAACACAAAGGCACTGTGGGAATGTGTGTTTAGATGAGCAAACATGTGCTCTTCTGTGTGCTTGAATGTGTGTGTGTGTGTATGTGCCCGCGCTCTAGGAGAGCTAAGGTGTCTGAGGTGACTGCAGTCCACAGAAAGAAGGGAGTTGCTGGGTTTAAGTGGAGGCATGAATGTGGGTGTGTCTGGGTGCCTGGGTACGTAAACATAAAGTGCACAGACCCTGGGGCACCAGAGCAGGTTAAAGGCAGTCGTATGTTTCCAGGGCTAGGGGTGTGGATGTGGGGGACTCTAACTCGTGCCCCACTTTCTCATCTCACCACTCCCAGGCACTCTAGAAATCTCAACAGCCCATTCCTATACCTCACTGGTTCTTTCTCCAAACCCCAAGGCCAGAATGCCATGGCCTCCACCCCATGCTGCAGAAAGATGGAACATTCTGGGAGTTTCTACACTAAGTGGCTCCAACAGGGTAGTGAGCGTCCAGCTGAAATCACCAGTCCTTCTGCTGCCACCCTCTTTAATGTTACAAAGCACTCTCCCCTCCAAAACTGTATTGCGCCTCCCCCTACACAAGAAGAAGATAGGGCAAACTCAGATCACTATCCCCATTTTTTAAAAATGTTTTTTAGTTGTCAATGGATCTTTTTTTTTTTTAATTATTTTTTAGTTGTTGATGGACCTTAATTTTTTATTTATTTATATGCGGTGCTGAGAATCGAACCCAGTGCCTCACATATATTAAGCAAGCGCTCTACCACTGAGCCCCAGCCCCAGCCCTCACTATCCCCATTTTGCAGGGGAGGAAAGGACCCAGGGAGGTAAAGAGACTAGCACAAGGTAACAGGGCAGGTAAACGATGGAGTTGAGGTTGGTGGCTCTGCAGGTTGACAGGGTTACTTCAAGTTCTTTATTGTGGGGGCGGGGTTGCTGGACAGTTTCATCAAGGGCAGCTGCTCTCAAAGCCAGCACAAGGCCCAGTAGCTAAGAGGAAGGAAGAGACAGAGGTGGGCTATTTGGGGGGTGAAGGTGGCAGCGGGTAGTTCTTTCATTGACATGCCCCAGTCAGTTGTTGCTGAAGTTTCTCTAGTCTGAAACAGAGGCTTTAGCTCGAAGTGGGCAGAGTGATAAAGGGTTGTATATTTAAGTTAAGGTTGTGACTTTACCATTAGGGAGTGTGTGTAGAAGTTAAATGTTTTTCCTTATGGAGTTACTGTGGGGAGAGTTAACTTGGGGCTTGGGATCATAGGGAGGCGGAAGGTAAAGATGGAAGCCAGCTGTGATACTGTGTAACCTGGGCCTCAGTATTCCAGTCTGTAACACAGACATACTAACATTGGGGGCCTCCCCTGCTGCTGCAGATTTCAGAGGGATAGGCAAAAATGTATCTATAAGTAAGAATAAATTAGTAATAATGCAAGCCTGGCACTGTGGTCCATGCCTGTAATCCTAATGGCTCAGGAGGCTGAGGCAGGAGAATTGCAAGTTCAAAGCTGGCCTCAGCAAAAAAAAAAGAAAAAAAAGCGAGGCACTAAACAACCCAGTGAGCCCCTGTCTCTAAATAAAAAACAAAAAATAGGGCTGGGATGTGGCTCAGTGGTCAAGTGCCCCTGAGTTCAATCTCAGATACCTTCCCCCCAAAAAATTGTAACAATGCATTTATCAAATGTTTCTTTAACTCTTTGTGCCACTGTTCTAAGCACTTTGTAAATATAACTCATTTGCTCCCCATCACAACCTCAAGAGGTGACTGAGGTATACAGAGGGTATATAACTTGCCCACATTCAGCCAGTTTGTGGTGGGTCCAGAGATGGACCCAGGCAGCCTGGCTCAAATGTATGCTCTTAACTGCTGCCTCTGCAAATAGAGGAGCCCACTTCCACCAGGGAGCTGGGGGCTGCCAGCCACAGCTCTGGAGAAATGCCATACTCTTTCTACCTGCTTGTCTTTCCTCTTTCTTGGGGCTCCTAGACCTTCCACTTGGCCTTAGGTTTGTGAGTTCAGGTGCTGGGGGTGGAGATGGGAAGTAGAAATAAGTGTCAGAAGCAATAGTCTGGTTAAGAGCAAAGACTCAAGACCTGGCTCCCCGCCCCCCCCCCCCCTTCTCCTCTTCCTTCTTTCTCTCTTTGTTTCTTTCTTTCTTGGTACAGAAGTTGGGATGGTAGAACCCTGGCAATCTAATAATGAGTTACATCCCCAATCCTTTTTTTTTTTTTTTTTTTTTTAAGACAGGGTCTCTCTAAGTTGCTGAGAGTCTCCTAAGTTGCTAAGGCTGGCCTCAAACTTGCCTTCTTCCTGCCTCAGCCTCCCAAGTCACTGGAATTATAGGCATATGCCACCACGCCCAGCTCCGACCTTTTATCTTGGGCAAATTACTTAATCACCCTGGGCCTCAGTTCCTTCATCTGTAAAATGGGAACAATAATCCAGTTGTGTGACTGTTTTAAGAATTAAGATGACTATGCAAAGCTCTTAATACAGTTCAAGACATATAACAGGCTCTAAAAATAGCCATTGTGATTAATAAGATATGGAATATGATGGGTTGATTTAGTGGAGGAAAACTGGTAAAAATCAAAATAAAAAGAGAACACAGAATTTCTCTATGGAGGAGGATGGCTTCTCCTTTAGACTTAAGAACTTAAACTGTTAAAGACTCTGCCACTGAATGGCAAAGAACGTCCCCAAACTCTGCAAACATTCCTATCCATCTGCAGCAGGCTGGGATGTGGGGGTATGGCAGGTGATGCTCTGCCAAGATGGGTCAGAAGTTCAGAGAAGAGAATACATTCATGATCAATTACTAGGTAGGGTGCCAAGCTCTTTACTTGTGTTATCTTGCTTGAAAAACCATATAAGGAGGTGGTAATAACCTTACTTTTTAATGGAAACATAGGTTCAGACTGGTTAAGTAACTTGTCAAGGTCACACAGCTTAATTATGGCAGCAATAGGATTTGAACCCAGGTCTCTATTATTCTGTTATACTTGGAGAGACTTTGTATGACTTCTAAAAGAGGGCACTCAGGTACCTACCACCTGTCTTCTGCTTTACAACATCTCCACCTACCTACCCACCCACCTACCCACAGGCCAAGACTGCATGGGGTGAATTGACAGCAGGCCCCAGCATGTGCCATCTGGGGCATGCCAGGGCCTGGACCCTCTGATGCCCTGGAGGACAATCATGCTGCCAGCACACTTCCACCTGGAGCCTGGCAGACACTCCCACTCCCCTCCTCACCTGTGCCTGGGAGGCAGGACTGTGAGCCCCTCCTCAGGAGGTGCTGGGCACAGCCTCATTCTTCCTGGGCTGCTGCAGACCCGAGGAGAGGCCAGATTGGTACCGGGAAGGCAGGCCCCAGCCTCCAGAACAGTAGAGTGCTCAGGCTTGCCTGGAGCTGCCAGTTCTCTGCCCCAGGGACCCAGGCAGGTGGCAGCAGAGACCCAAGGGCAGCCGGCCCCTCTGACCTCTCGTCGCCACTTCCCAAGCGTCCTTCCCTTTGCTTGGGAAACCCGCGGAAAGCTTTGGGACAGTCTGCCTTGGGCGGTTAGGACAGCCAGGAGGGACAAAGCGCACCCCCTCCCCCCAACAGGGCCTTTGCCCCACTCCCAGTTCCGCGTCTCAATCTTTTCCCCACCGCACCCTCCAACACAGGCCCGGGCGGCTCATGAATGAACTGCCCTGTGTGGGGCGCAAGGAGAGGACACGCTCCCCGGGCCAGTCGCCTCTCCGGCCCGCCGATCAGTCCCCAGAAGGGCCGGGGGCAGCAGCCGGCCTCGTGCCAGCACCCACGAACCCTGCCCTTGCCTGAGCCCGAACCCCTGCTCTGGGCCAGCCTCTTGTATACACTGCCCCCGGAACAAGAGAAAAGATAAAAGAAACCGAGGACATCAGACTTGGCGACCCCGGAATCCAAAACTCGGGGGCGGGGGCGGCTGGTTCCCCACAGCGGCGGCGGGCTGGTGGGGCGCAGCTGGAACCCCGGCAGGGCGCGCAGGGGACGAGCACCGGGTCGGGGCAGATGGGATAAGAGTGGCACTAGGGGGCCGGGACAGGGGTCCCACCCCTTGGGATCTCCCAGGGCCTGGGGTCAGAAGGCGGTGCACATCTGGACCCCGGACAGGGGTCGGAGGATTCACCTTTGGCTAGGGATGGTGCGGGGTTTGGGGGCAGTGAGCGCCACCACTGGGTCCCGCGGGCCCGGGCACCTCTGGGTCCCGCAGGAGGTTGAAGGGAGGGGACGCGCAGCTGAGTCCTGGTTTTTTCTTGGGTGGTGGTGGGATCTTCCAAGCAAAGAGAGGGGGCTGGGGAGGGTCGCGTACTCACCCCCAGGCGCAGACTCGGCTCCGGCTGGGAGCCCCGGGTTGGGGCGGGGCGGGGCTGGGGGAGGGGGAGGGGGAGTCGCTGGGCGGCTGGAGCTCTGGGCTCCTGCGGCGGCCGCGGCAGTGTATGGGGGAGGGGGAGCGGGAGGAGGGAGGGGAGGAGGGGGCGGGACCCCGCGGGTTCCACCCCCCACGCCAGCACACGCAAGCTGCGCGCGCACTCACAGATCGCCGCTCGCCCCGCGAGTCCGGCGCGCAGGCGCAGGGGAGAGTCCGCGTGGGGGAAGGCGGTGCTTGGCCAGTGGGGCTCGCGGCGGGATATTCCGGGGCAGCGAGAGCGGTATGGAGGGGGAGCGAGAGGGGGTCAGGTTCCTAGCTGTGCTCCTCCGGTCTCCCTTTCTTCCCTGCAGCAGGGGAGGCTCGCTCCCCGGGGGTGGGTGACGGAGGATTTGTGGGCCCTTTGCGCCTGGGGGTCAGTGGGAGGAGTTTCGACGGGGAGGGAGGCCTTAGACCTGGACCCTCCTCTGTCCCACTCTCCCTTTCTCCTTGGGCTGCGGGGGTCCCTGCGGTTTCTGCGCCTCCCTCCCACGCACCTGGCCCGTGCTCACCTGCCTTCCCAGGGTTGTGGAGCCCGCCTGGGAAGGGGAGGGCTGCGGTCAAGCCTTGGCGAGGTGGTTTTGGAAGGTCACTCTGGCGCGGCTCCTGCAGTTATCTGCTCCTCCCTCCCCTTTCCAACTTCGGAATGGAGATGAGTTTGCTAGGCACTTGGATGGCCTGAGGAGTGAGTCCTTGCTTTCACTTCTGTTTGCCGAGTGTCTCCCCTGGTGCAGGGGGTTTCCTGGTTTCTCATTTCACCAGAGACTGCAACTAGCCGTAATTAAGACTGGAAAGATGGAGAGAGGAAGAGACAGACTGACTTTCTGTATATACCCCCACAAAGATAGGATCACGAAGACCCGATGAGCACCAAATTTAATTTCGTTTTCCTGAAGGGGACAAAAAAGGAAGCATTGCTTTCCATAGTTGACAGTCACTTTGGGTTACTTGGGAAATGCTGGCGATGTGGGAAATACTTAAACCTTGCAACCACTGCTGGACAGAAGGAGACTGCCTATCTGGGAGCGACTTGTTCTTGTCTGTGCCGTCTAATGGCTTTTCAAAGGTTCTAGGGTAGCTTGTAAATTGCAACTGTAAGATTTGATTAATTGCAATGTTTTCCAAACTGTTGATTCCTATCGGTGAGTTAGAAATCAGTCTAGTAAATCTCGTCCATCTTTATAAAAGATGAAGTAAAAATTATCCGAGGGTGTTGCATTTAGTAAGAATATTGCTTCTTGACACTTGATTTAGGTGTACACACGTGAGTGTATAAAGAGGTGTTGTACAATGTGTTTCCGTGTGTCACAGTTAGAAAAGTCTGAAAAGCATTGATCTCCTGTACCCTGTTTGCCCTCTTGTCTTCCTTAGCTTGAGTTTCTTGTCAGTTCAAATTGCCCAGGGGATGCAGTTAGTATACCAGGAATACACACTGAAGGACAGAGTGGTATCTTCCAAGAGGTTACTTCCTAGGAAAGAGAAAGTTCACTGGAAATACCGAAAAATGGATTTCGTTGAGGGTAGGAGATAGATTGGCTTTTTTTGGGGAAAGGGCAGTTTTTCAACTGTGACAAAAAGTTGGGTGGGGTGAAATTGCTTTTGTGAACTTTCTGGTGGCAGGAGTCTTTGTAGGCTTGGATTCTAAGAATTGTTTTGGGTAGGAGCAAGCAGTTTAGATGAACTAAACTGCTTTAGTTTTTCCTTTCCTTTTTTTTTTTTTTTTTAAAGGATTGTTCATTTTACCCTTAGACCTTTTTGGATATATATTTTGTGTGGAACTTTTTACATTTTTAACTTTATCGTAATAAAACTAGTGTGACCAGTCCAGCGCGGTGTCTATAATCCCAGTGGCTGGAGAGTTCAAAGCCAATTTAAGCAATGGCCAGGTACTAAGCAACTCAGTGAGACCCTGCTTTATATAAAATTACAAAATAGGGATGGTGGGGATATGGCTCAGTGGTCAAATTCCCCTGAGTTCCAACCCTGGTACCAAAAAACAAACAAACACCCCCAAAACTAATGTGACCCATTGTTTGCATGGATCAATCAAATTCACGTTAGGGCCAAAGAACACTAGTAGTGGATACTTGAAAATGGAAATTGGGGGCATAGTTACCTGGTTTTGGACCTCCAAGATCACTGGAAGACATTTCTTAAATATTATTTTTAAAAATTATAAAGTTATGAATCTGAACATATGGTTGGTTGATTCCTGAGCTACTCCTGCCTATCCCTAGTTAGATTCATCACCTATTAAGGAGTATATGGACCATTAGGTGACTCTTTCTAGTTAGAAGATGGGAAGCATTTCAGCAAGCCTGATAAGAATTGAGTTAGGTGCATTGTAGAATCCATAAAGAAACAGTCTGTTTCTCAGGAGGGCTGCGAACATAGTAATTTAGAATCTCCTCAGCTCCTAGAATCTTAGAGGATGCAAAGGTCCTTTAAAACCTATTTTGCTCCACTCCTGTCCTCATTATTGTGATATTTGGATAGATTTTTTTCTTTTTTGGTACTGAGGGTTGAACCCAGAGGCCCTTTACCTCTGAGCTACATTCCCAGCACTTTTTTTTTTTTTTACTTTGAGACAGGATCTCACTCGCTAAGTTGCTGAGGCTGGTTTTGAACTTGTGATCCTCCTGCCTCAGCCTCCCAGGCTGCTGGGATTACAGGCACCGCTGCACCTGGTTGTATTTTTCTATTGTTTGTGTTAGTTGGGTAATTCTTACAGCTTGGGGTGGAGGGGCTTGGGAGTGTCACTCAAAGTCAGGTTATGATTTAACCTTCCATTTCAGAGGCTGATGGTTGTTTGGGTTGTTGCTCACCCTGGTATGATTTTATAGGTATGTTAACAATGACAACCAGTGTGCAAGAGAGGACTGAGATTCAGGTCTCAGCTTTGTTGTTCTCTGGGTTAGGTAATATGCTGAATATTAAGAAAGATGCAGGTAGCTTATTATTCACTAGGGAAATATGGGAAAGAGTAGGAAGGTCCCTGTCAAATATTAAAAAATTATTTATGTCTGCTAGAGGTTAAGCAGCATCTTAGGTGTGCCGTTATTGTGCAGGGTGTGATAGAAACAACCTTGGGTTCTGGTCTGCGCTTTGTTGCCTTCTAACCTGGGATGAGTTGGCAAGTGTCACAGTGTTTCTGACTTTATTTCTTCATCTGTAAAATGACACTTAACTGCCCTGAGCCCTCATATCTAGTCCAAGTCCTTAGTCTGTTCAACCTCACAAGACTGTTGCTTTCTGTGTTTGTGTTTTCATTGGGTGCTTAGGAATGAAATCATCAAAGAAAATGATCTGGGCAAGAATACTTTGGGAATTGCAGCATGTTACAGTTGTGTGAACACACATTCATCTTTCTGAAAGGGAATTTTTTGATAGCCAAATAGAAATGAATCTCTAAGTATCAGTAGAAGTATTTATTAGTCCAGGATGATTGGGAGGACCCTGCCAAGATCAAGGTATCAAACCTGCATGATGGGTAAAGCATCTTGAGAGTTCCTCATTTTTTTTTTTTTTTTTTAATATTGGGAATTGAACCCAAGGTTGCTGTACCACTGAGTTACATCTCCATCCCCAGCTTTTTTTTTTTTTAAAATTTTGACACAAGGTCTTGCTAAGTTGCCAGGGCTGGCTTCAAACTTGGGATCCTCCTGCCTCAGCCTCCCAAGGCATTGGGATTACAGGCCTGTGCCAGCGCACCCGCCTGAGAGTTCCTTTATTTGATTCTTCAAAGCTGCCAGGCCGTTGCCTTTCCCTGCTTTGATGAAGAAGGACATTCACAAGCTCACACTGGCAGTTTGTTCTTTTTGTGGCTGGGCTTTGCATTTGATTTCTTAGTGTTTCTTTTCCCTTCTGTTACATACTAACAAAATCTCCTTTAAGCACTCATTTCTAATTATGCTGAACTTTTTGTTTTCTTCCTTTTCTATAGAGCCCATTCCCCTTGAAAAGCCTTTGAAATGTATGACCCATTCCAGGCACCTGAATATTGTCATTGTTGAGGTGGAGACAATGTATGGATAGATGTGCGCTGGTTACTAGGCTTGCTGCATGGTGGGTAGAGCTGCAGTACATTTGGCTGATCTTCAAAACTCAAGTAATGGTTATTTTCCAGCTTTCCACCAAACATTTGAGGTGTCGGTTCTTTTTGTCTGTTTTATAAACTCAGACTTTGTGTATGAGATCTACCTAAAAATGAGTCCCCCAAGCAGTCACTGGGAGCCTGGGTAAAGGGCGCAAGAAAACCTCCTCAAACCCCCAACATGGAAACTCTCTTGTGCTGGAGGTTGAATTGCAAATCAGTTCTGTCCATTTGACACACGGTTCTTTGGCTCTCGCTGTGTGCTGCACGCTGACCAAGGCAGGTTCTGGTCTCTGCTCCCAGGGAGCGTTTATTCCAATGGACCTGTAGGGTGATGAGCCAAGAAACAACTCATTTGTGTATCTGTGAAACTGAAGCCATCATGCCCCTTGCACTCCCTCCCCCCACTGTGCTTCTACAACCGAAGGGATCTTAAAGTTAAGCCAAGATGAAAAATGAGCCTGGCTCTTGGATGGATGGCATTAAGCAATTTCTCTTCCCTCTTCTCTTTTAACAAAGAGGCTGTGATTTATACCCTGAAATGGAGGGTAGTGCTCCGTACCGACCGGGAAGTAGCATGAAAACCCCTCTCTGGCACCACTGTCTTCCAAATACCTGGCTTCCTCTTTGAGAGTTTTGACTCTGAACAATGTTGGCTGTGAAAGCGTTATGTATAGAGTAGGTTTGAAGTGAACCAGGCCCTATGTCCTCGGGAGGGATATATGCTGGGAAATAACCACCAAAGTCCATCAAAGTTGCTTTGAAGTCAGTTGCTGCCTCCATTGCTCATCCCAGGTCAGAAGCAGATCTTCGGGGGTGGGATGAGGCACGTTCCATAGTGGGCAGGGCAGGCGCCAGGCCAAGAGGTGGATCCAGGGGCCTGCAAACAAAGCACAGGCTCCTCCCAGGACTGCACCTTCCTGCCACCAGCAGCGTTCTGCAGTGTGTTCACCTGAGAGGTGCAGGTCCCCATGTGCAGATAGGTGCCTGCAGCTTGGGATTGTGGCCTGGAGCTGGGGTGGGGTGGGGGTGGGGCCTGGTTTTCTCCCAGGGGCTCACTTTACTCCATTCAGCAAATGCCTGTTATGCTCCTGCTATTTATTTGGACCTGCTGGGGAGGATAGGGAGGAGATAATAGGTTTTTTTTTTTTTAATTTTTATGTTTTTTTGGGGGTAAGGGGTATATAATATAGTAAGTGAAATATTTGACTCTTGCACTTTAAGGTCATAGTAATGCTTATGGGTGTCCATTTGGTGACTAAGTTGTCTGGGTCAGGATGGAGGTCAATATCAAAATCACTAAAGAGGTAGTGAAAGTTTTCAGGGTTTTTTTTTTTTTTTTTTTTTCCTTGTAAAAATGGAAGCGCTCCCTGGAGGCATGACTGTCACTCTTGTGTCCAAGGCAAGACGTGTCATCACTGCCATCTGAGTCTGTGTGACTCCTGAATTCCTGTAGCCAGTTCAGATGCCGTGCTGTCAGGTCCTCTGGTTTGTGTGTTTTGGATAATAAGTAGCAAGGAATAGAATGTTAAGGGACATCAAAAAAAGGGTCCAAGTTTGTTTAGTGTCTGTGTTCAGGTAGTGCGTGCTGTCTCTGACAGTTCCAGCAGGTTACACAGCGTCCCCAGTGTGCAGGAGGGACGGCAGCTGGTGCTGCAGTTTTACACAGGCTTCTTGGAGATAGTGGGCTTGGGACCAGGTCAGAGGGGTGGGCAGAGAAGGGCCATAGGTTGTGGGGTGGCTTGAGAGCGAGGCGTGGGGAGGAGGTTTGGGCTTGTGCACTGACTGATCTAAGGAGTTTAGTGGGGTGCCTTGAGTGCTGGGGTTTGTGGTGAAAGCCAAGCCAGGAGAGTTCTGGGAAGCCCCTAGACACTCTGTCCATGTTCCTGAGGAGCAGTGCAGAGTGGAGAGGCAGGAGGAGGCTGGGTGTTGTGATTCTCCTGAGAGGGAAGGTGGGTGGTGCTGGGTTATCTTAAGGAGTAGCCTGGGAGCCTCCTTTCTCCCAAGGAGCCAGACCAGGGGCCTGCCAGCGTCAGGCCAGAGGGGACAGCAGCTAGGACCAGAAGGACTACTCCCCTGTGTGTCTCCTTCCCCTCCCGCCCTAGTTTTAGTTGTTGCTTAGTGTGGAGTTCTTTTCACCACCTACACTCTACAGATTATCTCAAGACTTAAATTGGATTAAAGTGAATGATTTTCACCTGGTGTTTGTCTACATTTTGATTGATTCGGCAGCACAGAGTTGGCTATGAGTAGAATGAGCATGTGATGTCAGTATTCTTTTTCTTTTTTCTTTTTAGAAGTAGATGACAGTGGAGTGTATTTTGACATAAAACATGGAGTATAACTTCCCTTCTGTGGTTATACACCATGTGGAGTTTCACCGTTTGCATATTCTTATGTGAACATAGGAAAGTTCTGTCCAGTCCATTCCACTGTAATTCCTAATCCCACCTCCCTTCCTTTCCCTTCTTTCCACTTTGTCTAATTCAGTGAACTTCTAACCCTGCTACCATTGTGTGTTAGCATCTACATATCAGAGAGAACATTCAGCCTTTGGGTTTTTGGAATTGGCTTACTTCACTTAGCATGATAGTCTCTAGTCCATCCATTTACTGGCAAATGCTATAATTTCATTCTTCTTTATGACTGAGTAATATTCCATTGTGTGTGTGTGTGTGTGTGTGTATATATATATATATATATATATGCCACATTTTCTTTATTCATTCATGATGGCAATTTCTTGATGGAACAAGAGTGATTTAACAGTTGGAAAAATATTAATATTTAAATTACAGTTGCCAGGTTTACTCCCTGATAAGTAAGATCATGGGTTCAGGAAGCCAGCTATTTGGTTCAAATTTTTGCCTTGTCCGTACTAGCTGTGTGTCCTTGGTCAAGTTATTTAACCTCTCTGGGCCTCATTTCCTTGTGTGTAACACTGAGACTAATAATAGTACTCATTTCCATAGAGTTTTTGTGAGCCTTAAATCAGATGGCAATGTAAAGCACTTAGCCTGGTGCCCAACACATTGTAACCAGCCAGTATATGTTCAGAAAGAAAGGAGACGGGCCAGATGACCCTGGAAGCTGCTCAACTCGGGAGCTCCTCATGTGCAAGGTGCTTGTGGTGGGAATGCCCTTAGACCCAGGCCGCAGTCATTTCTGGTTCTAGTTCTGCCCTTGACAGGTTGTGGGCTCGATATAAGTCACTTAATGTCTCTGTGAGATGAGCTGCGACATCAGGAGGAGGAGGAGGAGAGCAGGTATGGGGTACCAGGCCCTGGGCCAAGTGCTCTGTGCAGTGCGTCTGGCCCAGTCCTCCTGAGTGCAGGGACTGTCAGTGTCCCAGCGTTTCACGTGGGAGAAGCTCAGCACTTTAATTACTTGTCCAGGGTCATTCAGCTAGCAGATGTGAACGTGGCCTTCTCTGTCTGTCGCCTGTGATTCCGTGTGTCAGTTGTTAATAGTTTCATAGGCTAGCTGCCTGCCTTTGATTTAATTTTCTGATCATAATTATATTTGGCCAGTGCTTCATGGATTGTTTTAAGAAAAATACTTGGGAGTAAGCCTGTGATTTGAGGCTAACTTGTAGTTAACTTGCATTTGTGGAATGTGTAGGCATTTCTGTGGTAGTTAAAGGGTCCTCCTCACCCACCTTTATTAAATAAAGTCTTATCTGAGGTGCTTTGAACTTGTGCAAAACAAAGCCCTGTGTAAACACTACAGTGTAGAGTTTGGCTCTGCAGAGCTCTTGAATGAGACCCTCTCAGCCAAGTGTTTGGGTGGAAGAACAGGCATATTCTGCAGCTAGAACCACAGCAGGCTGTAGGTGCTCTCGAGCACACCCGTGCGTGGTGTTGAGGTGTTGCAGAACACTGGTGACTGCCATAATTGATTGTTAAGGTTGAGGTCTGCAGACTGGAGTCACGAATCTTAGGCTGGTATTGGCTCTGTCACCTCCGCCTGCTTTCCCAAGCCCACTTTCAGCTCTAAGATGGTGTCAGTGGTTTTTCCATGTTAGTGTTGTTGGGGAGACTGACCCAAATATAGACTTTGGTCAGTGACTTGGCAAGGGCGGTCTTTGGCTCTACTTTGTTGACCTTGAGATATACAGGTGTTCTGACTTTCACATTTGGGGGAAAGGTGATGTAGTGACAAGCAGATGGGCAGCTGCTTAGACCACCTACTTTCTTTTTCTCTTTGTTTTGTACCAGTAATTGAACTCAGGGGTGCTTAACTGAGCACATCCCAGCCCTTTTATACACAGACAGACACACACACGCACATGCACACGCACACACTTGCCAGCTTTGAACTTGCAATCCTCCTGCCTCAGCCTCCCAAGCCACTGGGGTTACAAGCATGTGCCACTATGCCTGGCCAATCTACTTTTTTTTTTAGGGGATTAAGGTCTGATATCAAAAGGTATTCAAGGGAAATAGTGTGTGTGCAGCTCCTTGGGGTTCTTGGGCAGTAGTCACTAGCTAGGGCACGCTAGAGGACTCAAGTTCTCCTGCCTGTGGAAGTGACCGCGATGCAGGCATCCCTGTGTTGTGATGTTACTTACTGTGGAAGTGTTGAGGGCCAGTCCTGCTCTCTGACCCCAGAGTCAGAATGTGAATCAGCAGAATTTGGAGCTGGAGTTCTCCATCTAATCGTCTGTATATCTTTTAACCACTAAGATTTATATTTAGTGACTAATAGTCTTGTGCTAGAAGTGCCATCTCCCACACAAGTCCCCAAAGAAAACTGGCTCTGAGTCAGGACTTTGACTTTGAAATCAATTTTTTCTTCCCCCTTTTCCATCAGGATTTGCTGTCTGGCGCCTATGGCTGTCTTTAGTGGGCTCTGGGGCCCCATCACCAGTGCAAGCAGAGCCTTCAGCCAGCGCTGTTTCAGGTAACTTTCCGCATTAAGTTCTCAAAACTGTGCCTTTGAGTAAACCTCTCATCAGGGCTGGTTAGTATGGAAACTAGATTGGGAGGAGAAATTCAGGGAAGTGTCTTGGGGTCAGGGAAAGCTAAAGGAAATCAGCTGAGCTGGAATTTGGCAGGATGGTGAATGGTGACAGTGGGTAAAGAGGCGAGTTCTGTCTGGCAGGTGACAGGGACTAGCATATGATGGAAGCTTGTTACTTTTCAGTCTCTGTGAGACTCTTACAGAGATTCTGACATCTCTGACCTGTCATTCCCTGGGGCATTAAAACTTTCTCTTTTAAGAATGGAAAATGTTTTTTAATTACAAAATAATACTGCTTGTTATTAAAAAAAAAAAATCAAGCATGTTAGAAGTGTGACCTCCAGACACTAAGCTAGGACAGCCCTACCCCATCAGGGTCCCCAGGCCACAGGCATTTTCTGAGCACTGTGCCTGGGGCTGGTCATACAGCGTCAAATGAGAGTTGCTTCCTGCCATGAAAGAGCTCTCAAGTGGGCTACAGGAAGGAACTTGAAAACAAATAACTCCAAGAAAAATTGATGAGTATAATAATAGGGTACTTGGGAAGGCTTGAGCCTGGAGCTGCCAGTGGGGGCTGGGGGGGAGGAAGGCAAGGAGGCAGTCTTCCCAGAAGGGAAGTGGGCACAGGTCCTGCCCAGGTCCTCAGGGAGGCTGGGAGGTAGTGTACTTAGAGTTTCCTGCCAGCTGCTGGGGCCCAGCATAGGTGTGCAAGTGGTAGGATGTGTGACCTCAGAGGCGGGTAAGTTGGGATCAGGTTGTGAAAGTGGAGAACTATTGAACATTTCTATGCCGGGAAATTGCCTCAGTTTTTGTCTTCCAAATAGAGCCCTGGCCAGCAGAGTGGGGTGCGGCAGGAACCAGTGAGCACACCTGTGTCACAGTTGCAGAGCAGAGGGAACTGCTCAACAAGGGGCATCGTCAGTGAGGGTACAGAGAAAGGGCAGTGCTTAGGAAGTGGCGTCAGTAGGACATGCTGCTGGTGGATGTTTGATGGTGACAGAGGTGTATGGGTGGGAGCTGAAGTTTCTGGAGAAACTCTTCCCTGGATAGGAAATGCAGCAGCAGAACGGGGCTTGCAAGGGCCCCAGGAGGTCAGTGTGCATTGGAGGTAGGGCAGGTTCTAGGGAGCCCTGGGGAGTGGAACTATAGGACTGGAGATGGAGTTCACTAGTTGGCAGCAAGGAGAGTGGCTGAAACTGCCCAGGTGTGTAGAATGAGAAAAGAGACCCTAAGGTGACTACCAGCAGTGAGCATCTGGAAAATAGAGATCTCACTGTAGAGATCACTCTGTAAACACCATCTCGGCCTTTAATACAAAAACTCTAAAAAACAGTAAAAAAAAACCCAACCCTTTTTAGTATTAAAAGATTGTTACCTTGACTTAATTCCAGTTTCTGCAGCATGTGCCAGCGGATTCCCTTAGCAAGCCTGCTCATTCCCATCTCCAGGTTCCCAGCAACACGTAGATGAGAGCATTTGGGAGCGAGTGTATCTGGGGAAGCAGGTTTTGCAGGATAGGCATTGGCTGTAAGCCTGGTCCATAAGGGATTCCTGAGTTCTCAGAGATCTTTTGGAAATCAGAGGCTTTAAGTTAGAGCTGCCATGAATGATGGTGTAATAGAAAAGTAGAGTTCTCTTTAAAATCCATCCAAATCAAGATCTTGCCACAGCAGCAGAAGCTCTTGATTGTAAGGGAATTTGGGAATACATAGTCCTGCCTGCCTGTCAAGACTCCAGGGCTGACTGTGCTCTGTCTGTGTGTGTGTGTGTGTGTGTGTGTGTGTGTGTGTGTCTGACATGAACTCTCTTGCCTTACAAGGCCATGTACCTTGGCCTAGGCGGGAACAGGTCACAGCCTGTTTTTTTCTTTCCCACCAGCACCACTGGGAGCCTCTGTGCAATTCAGAAGATGACCCGGGTGCGAGTGGTCGACAACAGCGCCCTGGGGAGCACCCCATACCATCGCCCTCCTCGGTGCATCCACGTCTATAACAAGAATGGGGTGGGCAAGGTGGGTGACCGGATACTGCTGGCCATCAGGGGACAGAAGAAAAAGGCGCTCATTGTGGGACATCGCATGCCTGGTCCCCGAATGACCCCCAGGTTTGATTCTAACAATGTCGTCCTCATTGAGGACAATGGGAACCCTGTGGGGACCCGAATTAAAGTACCCATCCCCAGCAGCCTGCGCCAGAAGGAAGGAGAATATTCCAAGGTGCTGGCCATCGCTCAGAACTTTGTGTGAACAGAGCCCAGGCCTCTGGCTGCAGGGGGCGTGTGGATAGAGCAGCTCCAAGAGCTGCACCTTGGCTGAGAGGAGCCGCCTGCCATGTGGCTGCTGTGCAGGGTCACAGTGTTCCATGAGAGAATAAACGTTTTCATGTATGTTTTCTTTCTGTGCTTTCTGGAATGTGGGCATGGGGTAAATGACACTCAAGCAGTTGAAAGGTGGCCAACCTGTCTGGCCACGTGTGATGACAGTCTTTGCATGGAACAGGCTGTATGCGGGGGCTGGGCCCTTTCCTTTCTGGTTTGGATCCTATGCTATGAGTTTATCCAGGATTGTCAGGCTCTGGGAAACTGGTATGAATCAAATGACAATTTATAATGTACCACGGAGTCTGTCACTTTCTAACTAAAAAGGGTTTTGTTCTGTTTTCCATCCACAGTATCCTCTCCATGTTTTAGAGGACTTGAGTTTTGGAATGGTTGTAAAGATTACTGGGTTTTGGAATCGAGCAGTGGAACAGTGGCAGCCTTTCTTCACTCGAGTATTTCTCAGAACACTCCTTTTTTTTAGAGAATTTTAACATTTATTTTTTAGTTATCGGTGGACACAACATCTTTGTTTGTATGTGGTGCTGAGGATCAAACCCGGGCCGCATGCATGCCAGGCGAGCGCGCTACTGCTTGAGCCACATCCCCAGCCCCCAGAACACTCCTTTTTGCCCAGTGGCATAGGGCCTCCTCCCAGGACTGGTGGAGAAATGGACAGGTCCTTCTATTTTGAGATGACATAATCTTGGGCCTGTGCACATGATTCAGTGACAGTTTATCTTCTGATCACTTGTTGGCCTCGTTGGGAAGATTAGGAGCTCTCTTAGTGTCTTTAATGGAATCTTATCAGGTCATTTATAAATTCATTCATTTAAAATGCCTTGGGGGTTGGGCACAGTGGCACACAGCTTGGCTCTTGAGGCTGAGGCAGGGGATCCTAAGTTCAAAGTCAGCCTCAGCAAAAATGAGGCGTTAAGCAACTCAGTGAGGCTCTGTCTCTAAATAAAATACAAAATAGGGCTGGAGATGTGGCTCAGTGGTCTAGTGCTCCTGAGTTCATTCCCTGGTGTCAAAAAATAAAATACTTTGGGGTGCTTCTTAAATATTTCAGTGGCCTCTGAGAGGCAGAGTAGTGTAATGGTAAAGAACACAGCTCTGTAGCCATACTGCCTGGGTTTGAATCCCATCTCTACCACTTACACTTCATGACTTTGGGCAAATTATTTTACCTTTCTGCCTCAATTTCCTCACCTGTAAAATGGGAATATATTAATGATATAATACTTGATAGGGTTGATGTGCCTGTAAATGCTTAGAGCAGTACCTGGCAATAATAAGCACTAACTGCTCTCAGAGATTTCCTGTCCTCAGGGAGCTTACAGCTTCGCAGGGGAGACCAAGCCAACATGAATTAACTCCCCAGATGGATGCAAAACACCAAGCCTATCAAGGGCCTATGATAAAGGGTTAGATTCTCAGTGGGATTAGAGGCAGATTCCCAAAGAAAGGGTTGCCTCAGCTAGAGTCTGAATAGGTGTTATGATGGAAGTCAAAATAGGGTTCCTAGAAGATTGGGAGTGTGTAGACCAGAAATGGACAAGAGGAACCTTATTTTGTGTGTGTGTGTGTGTGTGTGTGTGTGTGTGTTGGGGGGGGGACGGTTATTAGGGATTAAGCCCAGGGGTGCTCACTGCGAGGTATATTTCCTAGTCCTTTTAAAAAATTTTTATTTTGTGATATGGGCTCACTAAGTTGCTGAAGGTAACCTTGAACTTGGCTATCCTTCTGCCTCAGCCTCCTGAACCCAGTGAGGAATTATTCTTAGTGATGTACATGCTCTAAATCTAGATGAGTGTATATCTTTGTAAATAATTAATGAGCTGTACCCTAGTGGAAATAAAGAGATACGCATTAGCTAGGTGAGAGGAGGGGAAAGGTTTCAGGCAGAGAGAAGAGCATGTGGGTGAACCCCTGGGGCAGGGGCTGGGGTAAGTACCACAGACTGGAGGAAAAACCAGTGTGGCAGGAGCAGCTGAGCACGAGGCTGTGCATTAGTCACCTTGGTGTTGCTGTAACCACTGCCTGAGATCGTCCACACCTGAAGGTTCACTTTGGCTTCCAGCAGATCATGGAGGAGCCGGGGCCGAGCGGAGCCGCTCACCTCAAGGCCCAGAAGTGAAAGAAAAGGAAGAGATGAGGGGCCACTGTTCCCTTCAGGGGCATGCCCAGAGTGGCCAGAAGACCTCCCACTAGGCCCCATCACTTTGTGTGTGTGTGTGTGGGGGGGGTGCTGGGGGTGGCATCCAGGCCTGCCCATGCCAGGCAGTGGCTCTACCACTGAGCCACATCCCAGCCCACGGACGCACCTCTTTAAGTCTCCACCACCTCCAATAGCCCCATGGGTTGGGGACCAAGCTTCTAACACATGGACCATTGGGGGACACTTAAGATCCAAACTAATAGGCCAGGAGAAGAGTGGGGCTCCTCTGGCTAGGGCCTTGGCCTCAGGAAGGAGGCGCTATCCCAAGGGCCTGGGCTGCTCAGGAGGGAATTTCGCAAGCAGGGTTGGGGCATGGGAGGGGATAGCAGGTCAGCCCTTCTCTTCAGAGGGGCCCAGGGAGGCTAGAGTGGAAGAGCATGGCTTTGTGATAGACTGAGCAAGAGACTGAAGTGGACTAGGGTAATGGACGCAAATGGACGCCTCGGGGAAAAACAGTTTGCCGGACTTGGCTAAGGCTAGCTAACGTGATGGGGAGGCCAAGGGTGGGTCTGAGGTTTCTGGCTTCCACACCTGGGTGGTTAGTCATGCTGAGCACTCAGCTAGGGTGCCAAGGGTTGGGGAGGGCGAGCAGTAGCAGGCTGGCTAGGTGTGTGTACCTTTGGTACATTCAAGAGATGTCAAGCAGGTAGCTGTATGTAAAATATCTTGAACATTGGAATAAAAGTAAATTTTGAAAACATCTGGGTGCATGCATATTCTTGGTGCTCCTCACAGTCCTCGGGCTTTGCAGGCATTGGTCCCATTTCTCTGATGTATCCTGAGTTTCAGAGGTATCATGGTTTCTCAGGACCCCATTCCTAATAAGTGGTAAAGCTGATTTCAAAGCCAGATCCTGTGACTTAAAATTCAGGGTCTGGCCACAGCATCACTGGGTGTCGTTTTTGTAGTTGGCGAGTCCTTGCCATCTTGCCTCGGTTCTGGCCAGCTGTGATCCTGCAGGCTACTGTGCTGATTCTCCGGGTCCCACGGGTCCCTCTTGCAGCCCACTGCTGCCAGCTTTGCATCTTCCAGCTGAGGAACTCTCTGCTCCCCTCTGACTAAGCTTGACTTAGGGTGCTCTGGGGATTTGGGAACCTCAGGCCCCTCTCCATCTGGCCCTCCAGAAGGGCTGGCGAGCATGGCCAGTGCGGGGTGTTTCTCTGGTACTCAGTGGGCTCTCGACTTCTCTGCTGTCTGTGCCGTTCCCCAGAGGCTGTGGGAGGACAAGAGCCCGGGCCTGGCACACGGGAGCGGTGGAATTGTTACTCTCAGCCTGCTTTGGGGCTGAACCTTTCCTCTGGGACAGCTTGATCTCACTGTCCTGCTGCTTCTGGCCACTTGCTTCCTGGGGTCAGGCCCTCTTCCTTCTGCCCTCAGTTATGTCTTCGCAGGGTGCTGACTGCTCTGCTGCACCCCCTGCCCTCCTCCCTGCTATTGAGCTCACCAGAGCCACCCAGATGACTCTGTCCTTGCTGTCCCCTTTGATCCCCCATGGACCTCGGCACTCCTCCCAAGGTATTCTGCGCTGACCACTGGAAGGCTGCGGTTTCAACACCACCGGGTGGCCAGGCCTGTGACGCAGGCTCTCACGGCACTCAGCTCAGAATAGCCCAGCCTTGCTGCTTTTCCAGCTGCCCTATCACTTTGCAAACTGGGATCTAATTTGCTGTCCGCCTCCCCCACCCCAGTCTCTCAGCCAGTGCTGCTTTCTTTGCCCATGAAATATTTATAATCACAGATTATGTTTCTTCTATGAGTATAAACTTGCTTTTGTTTTTTCCCCTTCTGTGCCCTCAAGAAGCCACCCCTGACGGGCCAATCTCTCTGGACTAATGGACTTCACTGCAGTGTCTTTGCTGAAGTGTCTGACTCCACCCATGCTGTGACTCCTGCTAGGCCACTTCAGAAGAAATATGGTGGAAAGAGCTCTAGATTGACAGCTGTGGTTGAGAGACCGGGGTTCCAGTTGGGACCTTGCTGCCACCTAGCTGTGTGACTTTGGGCAGGGCATAGCCTCAGGGGGAAGTGGGAGCTTACTGCATGATGGCTTGGTGCTTGGAAGAGGAGACCACGGTGACACTGACCACAGCCCTCACCCTAGTCACCTTGAAGGGCGTGCCCTTGGCTGCAGATGGGGGCCTGGCCAAAGTGTGGCAGACGGTGCTCACCGTCAACACTCCTGAGACCAACCAACTGTGGCAGGGGGTGTCAGGCTGCGCCTTGAATGTCAGGAAGCCCCTTCCTGGAATCCCCACACCTAAGCTTGCTGTAAGGCAGGCAGCTGGCACCTTGCTCCCATGGGCAGGGTGAGGGGGACCCTCAGCAGACAGCATGGCAGGGCACAGCTCCAGTAGGCAGGCTCCCTGCCGACTCGGCTTCCATCTCAGTCCCCTCCCTGTTCCCCTTTGCCTTTTGTTCTCTCAGAGTCCTCCTCAGAGGCCGAGAAAATTGCATGATACTGAAATCAAATGCTGAACTGAAATTCAACTCTCCCCTTGCAATTGCTGCATTCCTTTCCTCCTTCTAATTTTGTAATTCAATCTTTTTAAAAACGTTGGGGGATTTTGTTTTATTTTTTCCCACCTGGAGGGTGCTTATGGAAATTCAGTTCTCAGCATTTTAGATACTTTCTTGCTAAATTGTTTTGCCAAATATTAATAATTTTCCAAATTATTTCGGCATCAAGCCAGTGGTTCCCAGATCTCCCAACAGTGATAACCTGTTGCCATTGGCTTGGTATTATGACAGGCTGTCCCCTAAGACGTACCAGAGTCATTTAAAAAAATAAACTTATTTTGATAATTTTATTATCAAAAGAGCTCTTGCACAATTGGGATATTCTTGAATA